GCCCAAGGACTTGGGCCATCTTCTGCTGCTATTCCAGGCCATAGCAGAAAGCTGGATTGGAAAAGGAGCAGCCAGGACTAGAACTGGCGCCCATATGGGATGCTGGCTCTTCAGGCCAGGGCGTTAACACACTGCGCCATAGCACTAGCCCCCATATGGGATTTTGATACCACAGGCTGAGGCTTAACCTACTACGCAACAGTGCTGGCCCCACATTATTTTATTTTTAAAAATTTCATTTATTATTTTGTTTGGGGAGTGAGAGCATGCTTCCATCTGTTGGTTCATTCCCCGAATGCCCTCAATGATGGGGACTGGGAACTAGAAACTCAATCCAGGTCTTCCATGTGGGTGGCAGAAACCCAATTACTTGATCCCAGATATTCTGCTGTGAGATGTGGGAGTTAACTGCTAGGTTAAATGCCTATTCCATCTTTATTTTTATTGCCCCTAATTTGGTACCTGAGACCAAATCAGTTCTAGTTGGTTCCTGTCTTTTTGATATATTCCATCATTCCTTGAACTCTTCTTAGCTTTCTGGCACAAATTGTTTCAGGCATGAGTCACTTCTCCAAGGAGTTTTGGTCCCGATAGGTGGTGTATAATGGCTGGATACCCAGATCTAGGGGCTTGATAGCCTCATTGTTATTGAGATGTTCTGTTCCCAGGCCATCTCTCCATGGATAGAACCAGGGAATATATGTTTGTATGTAACACACACACACACACACACACACACACGTATCTGTATTTCTCATCTATAAATATTGAAAACTGCATGTGAACACCAACATCTCTGATACTAAAACATACATACATACGTATATTCCTTTCTTGGAGAATCCTGAAAACCAAGGTCTATTAGTTCCTCATTTGCTTGATCTTCTGGTAGGTAACCAGTACTCCCAACTGTGCTTCCATCCTCATTTCAATTTGACTGATATTCAATTCTGATGGTAATCTTAATGTGATATCATTTGATAATACCTTGATATTAAAAATAGCCAAGTTATACTTTGTTCTGTACCATTAAAACATTTGATTATACATGTCTTGCTACCTGTAGCTTATTATATTCAGATAGCCACATTACTAGAGGTTCAAGGGCTGATATCTATACCAAGATCAGGCTATGTCTTTAAGGTCGGTCGTGATTTTGACATGGGGTAAAAGTAAAATAAAAAAGGTCTTAGCTTACTGGAGATAGGTCTACATCTGAAGAAAACCTCAGTTATTCAGAGTAGAGCTTACACAAATGACTGATAACACGAATGAATAACTATGGTCTGTATGGACTTCAGGATTCTGCCTAGGTAGAATGGGCTCCAGGAATGTTGAAACCAAAGCTATTCTGAATTTCAAAAGAGCTCCAGGGGCGGGACCTTTTTTCTGGAGAAGGCCATTTGGATATTTATAGCAGCATTCATGGGACATACAAAATTATCCACATAAAAGTTAGCCTGCTGTAGATTTGTTGAATTTCGAGTCCCTCCTGCCATTGCCTTGGCAGAGCCAGACCAGGTGATTTCACAGGCCTCATATAGCTCGTGGGCCTGGGTGTTCCCCATCCCTGGCATTCTTTACATTTAGCTCTAATAATAACAATACCATCCACACCCCAAAACTCCTGCTGAACGCTCAACCTGTGAAATGCTCACAAGAGAACCCAGAAGACAAGTTCATTGGTTCTTTCTTTAACAAGCTCCACCTCACTGGGCCGTGACCTTGCCAGCAGAGATTAAGCTTGCTGCTCCTGACCTAAGATTGTTGCTAGTCTTCAGTCCTCCTGTTACCCCTGCTTGGACTTGGCAGTCTGCTCTTACTTTGGCTCCTGACTTGGCTCAAAGTGTTGATTGGGGTAGGGGCCTCTCTCCTCTTCACAAGGGAATTGGAGGCACATGGTACAGATGCAGAATGTATTCTAGCACATTTTTATCTTGTAGTACAGGAAGTCAAAGCCCAGAGCTACTCCTGAGAAGGATGTGGTGGTGTAAGCATTTTATTTGGCTGGGAGAATCCTATGGTTTGCACAGTGTTATACCAGTGCATTTCAAAAAGTTCATGCAAAGTTCCCATTGTCTTTTGATGCCATTCTTTCATGAACTTTTTTTTTAAAGATTTATTTATTTTATTTGAAAGTCAGAGTTACACAGAATGGAGAGGCGGGGGGGGGGTGTCTTCCATCTGCTGGTTCACTCCCCAAATGACCGAAATGGCCGGAGCTATGCCTATCTGAAGCCAGGAGCCAGGAGCTTTTTCCGGGTCTTCCACGTGGCTGCAGGGGCCCAAGGATTTGGATCATCTTCGAATGCTTTCCCAGGCCATAGCAGAGAGCTGGATTGGAAGTGGAGCAGCTGGGTCTTGAACCGGTGCCCATATGGGATGCCAGCGCCACAGGCCAGGGTGTTAACCCGCTGCGCCACAGCCCCGGAGCCTCCTTTTTTTTTTTTCTTTTTGAAGTGCTCTTTTATTTGATCTGGCCAATCTCCTCCTTTATACAGTAGCTTTAATATTCATTTTGAAAAGCAGTATTCTTTGAAAGGTTTCCCTGTACCAAAATATTTTTCCAGAGACTGGCCACAGTGTATGACATTCGAACCTCAGAGATCTGCTGATGAAAAAAGGACCTTGAAACTATTTCTGGTCCTCAAGTGCACTCCATAGAAATACGAATCTTGTTGGGAGAATCTTGAGGCTGTGAGAGAGGTTTTGGGGTTCTTGAGATAAATTTTGCTTCTTGGAGCCAGCCTGTCCCCTGCCTCCTCTTTCTGGCTTAACCTCTCAAACACGTTCTGATGTTTTGGTGCAGGAATGCTGTGGAAATGATGCTTACTGATGTGAAAAATTTAAACAGAAGCAGTTAATTGCACTACTGGGGACAAACACTTTTAGCTCAAGTTCAGCTGTATAAGTTGCTTAAGATTCTGATAGAGTATGTTTGGTGCAGTGGTTAGAATGGTGCTTAGGATGCCCACATCCTGTATCAAGGTACCCGAGTTTGAGTCCTGGCTCTGCTTTGATTCCAGCTTCCTGCTAATGCACAGGATGGTAGGTACCAGGTGATAGCTCAAGTACTGGAGTCTCCACCACCCACGTGGACTGAGACCTGGACTGAGTTCTAGTCTTCTGGCTGTGACAGCCCTGGATGCTGTAGGCATTTTGGAGAGTGAGCTAGCAGTTGGAAAGTCTCTGTCTGTCTGTCTGCCTTTCAAATAAAATGAAGAGAGAGAAAGAGAGAGAGAGAGAGAGAGAGAGAGAGAGAGATGGATGGATGGATAGATGCTGTCAGAGAAGGGTTTTATCTTAAGTTGACTAGAGCCCAGGAAAAAAATGATCTGTAATGGTAAACAGAACTACCTATCGAGGCAGGAATAGGGGAACAGTTTGGGAGGCCTCAAAGACAGCTCAGTAGGCAGAAGAGGATCTGACAGTTGGGACAGTTGGACTCCTGACTGCCTTCTCATGCAAAGCCCTTACAGTCAGCAAAGCTGCCTTGGAGCCCACCACCTCCTGGAACAGAAACTGCAGGGACCCTGAGTTCTCTGACAGCATCCCTGCTTCCCTCCTGTGCACTCATTTGCTTATGGCCCAGAAATGTCTTGCCCTGACTTGTCCTCAAACCGTAACTCCACCAGACTTGTTCTTGAACTCATCTACTTCTTGATGATTGATACCTTGTAAAGCAGTTGGAACACACCGCTTCGTGCCAGGAGTCCATCATGACATAGCTGTGGAGTGAACTGTGTGCCTGCAGGAAAGCTAGGAAACATCTATGTGCTTTGGGAAATTCAAACCCATCACAACTGACCCCTTAAACCAGAGGCTGTACACCAAATATAGCCC